ACCTGCTCCGGAACCCCTGCGGGCAGGGTGGGTGCCGGACCGGGGGGGGGGATTATGGGATTGAGTAAAGGAAAGGGGGGGGTAGGGACGGATGGGAACATGGGTGAGTAGGGAGCGGGATGGGGGGTGGCGGCGGGGTTATGGGAGGAGGCGAGGTGAGTCGGGGGGGTCACCATAAGGGGGTATTCCTCCTCCCCAGCAACACCCCCCAATATTTATTTCTCTCCCTGTTTATTTTCGAGAACCACATTAACCCACTCCTCCCCTGGGAATGGGTGCCCACCAAGGTGTCGTCCCCCGTCCCATCAAACCAGCTCCCACTGCACCTCGCCCCATCCTCCCCCTTGACGCATCTTCATCCCACAGATCAGTTCTGTCACTGGCAGGTGGAGCGTGGGGGTGATGGCTGGAAGGTGGAAGAGAACGGCTTCCCGGTTGATGACACCCCGGCCCAGACCTGCTTCACCACATCCTTTCAGTGAGTCTGTCCCATGGGCCTTCCCGTTTGTCCACCACCTTCCCCGTGCGGCAGAGAGCTACCTGTTCTCCAAAGGCCAGATCGGTCCTGATCTGGCATGTGCCCCTATGAATCCAGAGTCACTCTGGATTGACCCAGCATAAATGAGACCCACAGGTGCCAGGCCTGAGTCTGCCCTGCACCTTGTACCGTCATGTCCCAAATATACACCTCTACCTCGATAGAATGCTGTCCTTGGGAGCCAAAAAATCTTACCGTGTTATAGGTGAAACCGCGTTATATCGAACTTGCTTTGATCCGCCGGAGTGCGCAGCCTCCTCCCCCCCGGAGCACTGCTTTACCGCGTTATATCAGAATTCGTGTTATTTCGGGTCGCGTTATATCGGGGTAGAGGTGTTTGTACACACCAGTAAATCTGGAGTGGCTCTGGATTTAGGCCAGGGCTACACTACAGATTTCTGCCGGCACAGATCTGTCGGTCAGGCGTTGGGAAGAGAGCTGTACTAGCCAGTGTGGATTCAGTGACACAGTACGGTGCACTGTTACTAGGAGAGTTTGTGTCGCTCAGGGAGGGTGGTTTTATCTGCCAACAGGGTATCCTGGGATTCTTATACTGGCAAAGTGCTCCTACAGTGGACATGGTCTAAGGGTGTGTCTACACTGGCAAGTTTCTGCGCCACAAGTTATACCACTTTTATTAAAGCGCTGGAATTAAACCGCTGTTGTGTGTCCACACTCTGCTCCTTGTGATGCATTAGCAGCTCTTGCAAGGGCAAAGACAGCAGTGCATTGTGGGAGCTTCCCACTGTGCTCCTGGCTGCAGGGTGCTTTGGGAAGGGTTTGCAATGCCTCATGGGCAGGCACAGTGTCACATGATGCAGGTTTCCCAATCCCACTGTTCCATGGGCATCCTACGACATTGCCAGCTGCTTTTCAACTGAAGCGTGGGGGGGGGGGGGGGGGGGGGGGGGGGAGAGGGTGTCCGCATGCTGTCTTCTAAGTTCAGACAGTGGCAGGAAGCAACCAGTCCTGAGGCAGGGAATGGGGGGAACCTGGGATGTCACTTGAGGGATTATGGGACAGCTCCGGCAGCCAATTACAGCGCAATAGCAATCAAGTGTGTACGCTGGCAATGAGCGCTGGAGCCTCTGTGCAAGCAGCCTTACGACTCGGCGAGGTGGTGTTTTTGCAGCGCTGCAACTGAGGAGTTTCTGCCACAAAGTGGCTCAGCAGTGTGTACACGTCTGCAGTTTGAGCGCAAAAAGCTGCTTCACTGCGCAGAAACTTGCCTGTGCCCTAAGTAAATCTGGAGTCACTTCAGTGGAGTGGCTCCGGATTTGCAGCGGTATAACCAAGATCAGATGCAGACCCAGACTCTGTGCTGCCCTTGTGTCATTATGACACACACACACTCTACTGAGGTGTTGGTATTGACCCATGGCAGATGAGAACTGGGAACAGTGTCGCTCCAGATTTAGAATATCAGGGTTGGAAGGTAGGTCATCTAGTCCAACCCCCTGCTCAAGGCAGGACCAATCCCCAGACAGATTTTTACCCCAGTTCCCTAAATGGCCCCCTCAAGGATTGAACTCACAACCGTGGGCTTAGCAGCCCAATGCTCAAACCACTGAGCTATCCCTCCCGAGGCCTTCTCTGCACTGCTGATTTGCCCCGATTCCAGCCCCAGGCGTAGCTGCCCCAGCAAACTCCTATAACAGACATTATTTGCACTGCGGGAGTTGACCCCATGGATTCAAGTCATGGCTTATGGCAGCTTTGCCTGTCTACACAGGGAGCTGTACTGGGGCAGTGCCCAGAGGCGTGAACACCTGAGCTCTGTTCCTGGCTCTGCTGGGTGACCTTGAGCAAAAACGACTTCCTCTGTCTGTGCCTCGGTTTCCCCTCCCACCCTTTGCCCACCATGTCTGCACCATGAACTCTGTGGGACAGTGATTGTCTCTTCCTAGAGTTCATCTTGACCTCCCAACATGTTAAAACCACAACTGCCTTATCTACAGCAGGATTTCAACACCTGTCCACTAAAACCCTTTTTCCCCCTAACGTCCACAGAGTCTTTGCAGCACCCAGCACAATGTGACCCTGATCTCAGTTAGGTGCTAGTGCAATATCTCATTAGGGTTTCCTTTCCCCCTCTGTAGCTGGTGCGTCAAATCGCAGCTCGTAGATCTTCTAAAGGAGGGGTTGTGGGAAGAACTGCTGGATACCTACCAACCGGAAATCTACATCTCCGATTGGTAAGTTTCACCTTCTTCTCCTTAGAGGCCTTAATGGTGACCTGCTGAAAGAAATGGGATTGTGTCTTTGATGCCTGATTTCTGATGACTGAAATAAGACCTCTGTGGTTTCCTTCATTTCTAGTTACAGGGGCCACCTGTGCCTCAGAATCAAAGGGTTTGGGTTTGTTTGGGGATTGTTGTTTTTTTAAGCCTTAAAAAAACAAGCCTGTTGCACCTTGTTTGATCTGTTTTTTTGCTGGAGGTCCCCTTGGAGGACCCAGAGATTTGAGTTGGGAGCCCTGTTAGCCCTTAAAAATCCAACCCTTCTCACTGCTTTAAGTAACAGTGAGTTTCTCCCACCCAACTGTTGGTCTGTGGCTTGAGTCAAATGCATGTTGCAGGTCACGTCTGTTCTTGGACTTGCTGGCTAGGATTGTAGACGGGCTTCCCTGAAGTTGCTGGGCTAGACAAGACCAGCGGGTGAGGATGTTACAGTGCTTGGAGCTAAGATGCTGGTGCAATCCCCTGATTGATGGGGACCAAAAAGCCGGTGGTGCTGCGTGTGTTGGATTCAGCTGTGTGTTTTCCCAAGATTCCTGTTACGTTCTACATTCGGGGGGCTGTGTCCTGTCTCCCTCTTGCTGCCCTCCGAGGTTCCTTGTTCACCAACATCTGTTCCCGTCCTGCAGGTGGGGTGCCCAGGAAGACTGTGGCTGTAAATACTCCATCTGCGTCAGGCTCCTGGGTGCCAACAAAAGAACTGTAATCGCTGAATTCCAAGCCAACTCTGATGCCATACAACAGTGGAACGACGCGCAGTATCACCAGGTGAGCCGGCTCCGTTGCCAGCTCTCTGGGAACATTAAGGGACTGGGAGTCAGGACACCTGGGTTCTAGAACCAACTCAGCCACTGAGTTGGTATTGTGCAAGTCACTTCCCCTCCCTGTGCCTCAGTTTCCCTGTGAAAGGGGATAACGATACCAAGCTCTACTGTAACGCGCTTTCAGATCTACCATTGAAAAGCGGTAGGGACGAATTATTAGTGGGCGTAATTTGTAAAATTATGTATGTTTAAAACAAACACAAAAAAAACCCCAAAGCGCCAAGAGTTAAAAATCGTGAATCCCAAACAGAGAGAGAGCTCTCACCCTGTCTTGGAGCTGTCGTCATCACTTCACGCCAACTCATCACCCGCTCTAGGCTGCAGCGTGACCATCCCAGAATCTCATCGCATCGACTGAGAAGGGGGATGAAATCAAGTGTGAAAGGGGAAACTTGCTGGACAGGGGGAGGGTGGTTCTCTTCCCAGCTCCACCCACAAAATAAACTCCGCCCATGGGTCTTGCCCAAATGAAACCCCTCTGGTGTTCACAGCTGGAGCACTTCAGTGTAGGCGCTACCAGCACCGACAGGAGGGGTTCTTCCGTCACTGCGGTTAATCCACCTCCCCTAAAGGGGGTAGCTAGGTCCGTGGCAGAATTCTTCCATACAGGAGTTCGATCTGTGGTGGTGTGTACCCTTGGGGTTCCACTGCAGTCCCCCTTCGTGGGCCTGGACTGTGTCTGTGGGTCTGATTCAGGCCACAGGCTGAAGGACGAAGAAATACTGAGCCAGCTCCCCATTCGGGGTACGTCTGCACTGCGAAAAAACCCCAACAACCTGGGGCAGTGAGTCTCAGCGCCCAGGTTTACGGACTACGGCGCTAAAAACAGCAGTGTAGACGTTACCACTTGGGCTGGCGCTCTGGGTCAGAAACCCGCTCCCTCCCCGGGTTTCAGAGCCGTCGACACGGGTATTTGCAACGCCAGCCCGAGTCTGTAGAGCCGCGCTCGGAGACGCTCTGCCGCGGGTGGTATTGTCACAGCGTAGACCTGCCCTCCCTGAGCGCATTCCTGCCCTGAATGGGGCTGGGGTCCTGCGGGGACAGTGTAATTAACCACTGGTTTCTAATGCACACGCGCAAGGGGGCTGAATGAAGCCTGCACGGGCAGCCTGAATTCGGGCAGTTCCTAACCATGGAGGGCTCGACTCTGCAACCTTAATGTTCTTTTAAGGTCTCTCCTAGGGCTATCCTGTGTGTGAATAGTTGAGGTGCCCGTAGGTGGCAGGCAAAGATTGTGCAGCATAGATCATGGGATCTGTGCAGGACCGATGGCGCCCGCTGGTGCCTCTTTATGCTGGGAGGTATCTGTAGAGTCACTGCGTGGCTCTGGATTTTATGAGGTGTGTTACGGTCGCACCTAGAGCCCGTTGTGCCGGGTGTGGGCACAGCGTGAGAGACAGAGCGCAGCCTAAAGGGACACAGGCTCATTTATTGTGGACGCGCAGGTGGCAGTGGCAGAGAGAGGAATAGAACACGGATCTCCTGACACCCAGTCCTCTATCCACTAGCCCACCACAGGCGGCAGATGGCTAGGTCTAGTGGGCTATCAGCCCCCGCCCCATCTATTCCTGCCTGCCCCACTCGGCAGGCAAAGTTCTGCATCCAGCCCCACCCGTGCATGGACACTCGTGTTATGTGACGCTCTAGAGGGCTCCTCCAAATTCTGTGAGCGGCTGGAGCCGGGCCCAGACCTGGGGGATGGGAGTCACCGTCAGTGCTCCCTCTAATTTTTCCCACCCATGTGCGGAATGAATTTTGTTATGTGCAGGGTGGATTTGATTTAAATCGAATGGATTTCAATCATGATTTAAATCACTAGTCAGAAAGACTCGATTTAATCTTGGATTTCCTCATAAAAGTGCATTCTTGTTGGTTGTTATAACCTTAATCCATATTCTTCACAACTCAGAGATAGATGAGACCCAAACTGGGTCTCTTTTACGGCCTGCTGCCATTATAGGTTTTCCCTTGTAGTGAGAGAATGGTATGGTAGATCTCAAATCAATGAAGGCTACACTCAGAAAGACCTCAAGACTTCTGGAATATGCTGCTCAAACAGTTTCACTTTTGTTTCTACTGCCTGTCCCTCCCTTCTCCCATTTATCTCCAGACTTCTTCTCCTTGTCCAGTTCTATTCCACCCCCAACGATCTTCTATTCACTGAACTTTTTGAAACTTTGCCCTTTTAGAGAGAGTTAAGGGACTGACTGTGTACACAAATTTGCAGAGGGACAATAGGGTTGAGGTCTGTTATTGCTCGCCTCTATATATTTATTTATTTATTTAAAAACATTTTTGCGGTTAACAAGCATGTTATCTCTGGAGACACAAATCCACAGTTTGAGAACTGCCAAACTAAGCCTCTCTGATGGTATCTTCTAGACTGAGTCCCATTGGGTAGATAGAAAGATTAACCTAAATAATCTCTACAGAAGCCCCTGGAACCCCGTAAGATTGGGTCCCTCATCCATGAACTATTGGAACTCATTTACAAAACTTTTCTTCAACATGACATGAATAGATTGTCTCCTACTATAGAATTAGAATTTATAATCCCTATTCCATGAGACATTATAGCTCAAATAGTTTTAATTAAGATACATATCTTTAGATAAAATGGTTCTTGAGGAAAACACCTATCAAAAAAATCCTATTTTTTTATTTTTATTTTTATTTTAATAATTGATTATTATCCACCCTAGTTATGTGCACCAATATGGACGTTATGTGTGGGAGGGGGCTCAGGGCTGGGGCAGAGGATTGGGGTGCAGGGGGTGAGGGCTCTGGGTTCGGGTGTGTGTGTGTGGGGGGGTGAGGGCTCCAGCTGGGGGTGCGGGCTCTGGGGTGGGGCCGGGGATGAGGGGTTTGGGGTGCAGGAGGGT